AAAGGCTGTAGGTCAAATGCGTTAGCAGAAAGCACTTCTGTTTATGTCTAAGACCAAATTTTTGTACATTACGAAGCTTATAGTGTATTTAGAAAAGCTGAGAAAGGGTCTGTGGAGGGGAGGAGGCATTTTTCCTTTCCCATAATCTGCTGGCAAAAATATATGATCTGATCAGGCTACTTTTCTTGTTCTCAGCATTAGCCGCCTTCTAACATTTTCTGTCCTTGGAGAAATGCATGACAGGGCAGCTTAGTTAAAGAGGTTACTTTCTGCTCACGCCTCTGTAGCAGTCCACACCAATGTCTTGATTTATGCTCTTTAACAGATAAAAGTCAGTCTCACTGATGAAGCTCATCTATATTACCATACTACACTGGAATACATTCGGTTTTTAGACTTTATTATTTCAGTCACAATTAAGACTATCTGAAGCCTTTTCATAAAAAGGTGCCATAACAAAAGCTGTACGTTAGCAACTCGATCAATGGATGCATTCATTCTGCATCAAAAATACCGTGAGAAGGACAGATCTCCTGGGGAGGCAAATCTGTATCAATATTTCAGTCTCTTGAATACAGAAATTTGATACGATAAAATGCAACACCCGAGCTTCCCCTCCTTTCAATTAACTGAGAAACAAAAATTGTCCTTAGAAGGGAAGAAATGCATTCTTATTTTTTAGTTTTTCGGGTTTTCCCCCCTTTCATAGCATCATAATGTTCTCTTCATGGGTGGAAAACTTAATCTTCAAGTTCAAGCCTAGTTTCTTCATACAGTTCGGGATGAGATGACTTGGAATACCGGGAATATTTCAGATGTAGAAAATCACCCAATTCATCCAGAGCATTCAAAACCTGTAAGACCATTATACTGTGTCAATTCTCTTGGAAAAGAAATGAAGTTCTAGTAACCTCTACTTTACAGCAGAATAAGATGATCATAAAAACATCAATTAAAGAAAGTTGAAAGGGCAAACGGGCAAATCTTGCTTTCATTCTCCTGTAGTGAACATCAATGCAGTCGTAGATGTACAATAGCATCTACGAGAACAGAATTTACTCCTTCAGTAGGTTATGGTCTTTTAGGAAGTACATTAATTGAGTACAGATGAAAAAAAATCACCTTTTTCTAAAAGCATAAGGAGATAATAATCCAGATAAAAAGTTATCTTTGCTTTTGCAAAAGGGATGTTTAAGGCAATACTTCAGTGTTTCCTTATAGATCCCAAAGACTGGAGTTGCCACTGCATTTTCATAGATGGGACTCAGCCAACTGTGCTGATCAGAGTCATCATAAATAGCCTGACTAGTTCAAGATATTTTTAGTGCATTCCATTATCTTCTTGTATTAATATCACAGGCATAATTAATAATGCATTAATATTGTAATGCGATTTGCTGAGCTGTGTCCCCAACTCTCAGTAGATTCAGAAAGCAGCCAGGGAACTCTATACCATAGAGAAGCTGCTCAGTGTTTTGCAGCATCTGATCCACATTCAAGAGCAGCCAACCTTTTGGCATCAAAGAAGAAAGCAGCAATTTTGATTTTGAGCCTGTTTCTGTTAAGCCACTAAAATGAGCTCAAGAACAGAAAGGAGTAATTTAGTAATGGTTTATGCAGAGAGATAGCTTCAAGGTCATTAAGGAAGTTATTCTTGGGAGCTTGCCCTTTCACGGATCTTTCCTCTTTTTAGTTCCAGGCTGAGATTCAAAACAAATTTTGCCAAAGGGAAAAGTTTCCATTGTGCTTGTTACCTGTTGTTACCCCATTTTTAGGCATATTCACAAAGTGTTTGTCCTAAAAACTTTCCATCTGCAAGTAATTAAACTCAGGGCATTTCCATTCCCCCATACTGTAAGGACATTTAAAGAATGCCACAAATACTACGGCAATGATCCCACTTCCAAAGGCAGAAATACAGCACGTTCAAGAACCATGGCTGGGGAGCGTTTCAGACCTTCACTGGTACCAGGAAGCAGCAATGTGCAGGTAGCAGGAAGTGCGCGTGCAATGATGGCCCAAAAATGTAATGGGCTTGACATTTGGGGGTAGGGAGAGGAAGAAAATCAAAGCAGCAACCTCAAGAAATTAATCTTCAGATCAACTTCATCGCCTATTACTAGTTACATAAGCCAAAATCTACACAGTCAAACAGCAAAAGCTGACAATGACCAACACGAGGTAGCTACGCCTTGCTCTATGCAATATTATCTTTATGGTATTATTCCTTGTTAAATAACTACTGCACCGTTAAGAGCAGCAGG